TTTTTAATTTAAGCACACTATATTTAAATGTTAAAATATTTTTTGGCTATGTACTTTGAAGTATCAGGTAAATAAATACGCCGTCGGATGCCTTTTTGTTGCTGACTTACAGTTGCGTCATTTGACTACCAGGTAAACGGCTGATTATCTATTCTCCGTGGTTCTGTCACCTTACGCTCCCTCCATGAAACTCATGGCGATTAATGGGGCGAGACGACGATCCCATCTCGATCGCTCCTCGTGATACGAGTCGTATCCCCTCTACCGCTCTATATATATGGCATATGTATTTCAGATGGCATCCTTGAACTGCTGGGCACAGATACAGGAGCTGCTTTGCGGAAAGCTTACGGGACGAGAGCTGACATGCAGCAGATACTACCAGAAACGGGCCAATTGATCTCCAAACGATTCGTATTAAAGGAGATGGCAATCAGAGGGTGTGGTTGCTTGTGAACCACAAGTTACGATTTTTACGATGAAGTGTATTACACTTCTGCTAGTTTCCAGCATGTTCTTTATGAGAATTCATTTTCACCAACTATATCCTATACTGTAGAAAGTTATTTGAAGTAACAAAAAATCTCCACAGTTTTATTTTTTTAGGTTTTAATCATGTACCTTCTCCTTATCTAAACCGTGTGAACCGCAGCCGAGTATTTGGACACAGTCAGCTTGCCATTGCCGACAAAGGGCTCAGTGCCGGCCTGAACGTTAATCAAATACTGCTCCGGAGCTATCGAGTTGTTGGCCGGGAGTTCATCGAAAAACTGCTTGAAGTCCGTCGAAAAACTGTTCGTAGTGTTTGCAGCGACGAACGAATATACCGTCATGTTGCCATTCTTGCCGTGGTAAAGGCTGAAGTCCACACCACCAACGTTCACCTCCTTGATTGGCTTTCCCGTGTTCGAAAGTGGACCAGCTCCACCAATGGCCTGTAGCCACACCATGACTTCATACTCTGCGTTACCGCCCAGAGTCGATCGTGAACATGTCGAACGCAACGTTTGCGACCAATTTCCCCTCATAGTCGAAATCGAACTCGATAGTCGAGGGAATCGAGGTGACATTCGCGATCGGCACGTGGTCGAACTTGAGCGCTGCGTTGGCGAACGACTTGACTTGCCAAGCGGTTCCGTCCCAGCTGAAGCTCGTGTGCCAAGCGATTGTTGAGCCATCAACGCTATCGAGGCCCGTACACTGGTGGCCTTTGGGGTCGTCAAAGGCACCCCAGAGGTTGTTGTAGAGGATGTAGTCGGCAGTCTCAGTTTTGTTCTGTTCACCGCAGAATTCCGTTTCAGCGGAGGCGTAGGCGATTGCAGCGGCAGTGAGGGCAGTAAAAGGCTTCATCTGGTTGACGATGGGCGGTCGAGGGCAAATTGAGGAGTGGCGCAAGAACCGGCAGCGCTATTCTACTGATCTCTCAATACATGTACTTGCAATGGATTGGACAGCACCTCCTGTGATTTGCCTGAAGTTGCTCCTTTCCACACTCAACTACTAGTGGATGCGGATATTAAACGCTTAATGAGCTGAGTAAATTTCAAAAAAAATTCAAGTTAATAAAAGTACTAGTGTATGGATTACAGCATTGCCCCTTCTTGCAATCTTGCGCCGCCACTTGTATCATTAATAAAACTTGTAGGAGCAAGACACTCGAGTTGCAAACTGCAAGTTGGAAGCCCCTAAATGATCAACGGATCCGTAACGGGACAACAATACGAAAACTGTTTTCAAAAGATTCGTTCTTAAAGTCGCAATCTCCCCAAAGAGCGACTTTCTTCAATACAAGCGTCCGTTGGTTAGTATTGGCGTTTGCGTCTCTGTTGGTGGCTGACGCGTTGACTAAGTAGTCGTTTTGGAAGAATTGTGTTTAGTCGTGTGGACTGCCGCTTGGTACTTGGACACCGTTAACGTACCATTGCCAACGAGGATCTCCGCGCCACCCTGCACGTGTGTCAAGTACTGCGTTCGGGCGATAGCGTAGCTCTTCGGAAGTTCGTCAAAAAACTTCTTAAGGTCGGTGGAGAAATTTGTTATCATTTTGTCGGGAACATACGAGAGCACAGTCATATTTCCGTTCATGCCCTGGTAGAGGGTGAAATCCACATCGCCAATATTTGTCGTCTTGATTGGCTTACCCGACGTCGACAAAGGCAAAGCACCGCCGAGGGCCGCCGGCCACACCATGACTTCGTACTCGACAGCCCCATCGATGGTCGACCTCGTGAAGAGATCGAACGCAACATTCGCGATGGTGTTCTCACTGTATTCGAACTCATACTCGATGGTGGCAGGGATTGACTTGACATTCAACAGCTGCACGGGGTCGAACTTGAGTGCAGCGTTAGGGAACGACTTCACTTGATATGGAGTCCCAGCCCAATTGTATCTCATGTGCCAAGCGATAGTTGAGCCATCGACGCTGTCGAGTCCTGTGCACTGACT